GCCCCTCTGCCCCAGCCTGGGGCACTGCAGGGGGTTGTTGTGACCCAAGGACAGGACCTGCCCCTTGGCCTGGTTGACCCTCATCCCACTGACCTCAGCCCAGTGATCCACCCTGAGTAACATTCCTATGCCTCCCAACCTGTAAAACCCTCTAAATCCACATTTCCCAGCCCAAAACGAGCCCGCAGTGGGGCTGAGCTGCCACGGGGTTCGTTTAGCAACCTATCCCTTTCCTTGGAAATCTTCCCCCATGCAAAACCCGCCGGCTTTGGGGAGAAACAAAAAAAGAGATGGATGAGTTCCTCCTTTCCCTGCAGCTTCCCGGGTGAGGGCCACCCACCAGCCAGCCACCACTAGATGGCAACCCGTGACCGCAGCGGGTGGCCCCTGGGTGCTGGGGGGCCCTGGGCACCCAAGGGTGGCATTTTGGGGCAGAGCAGCCCCATCCCATCCCGGAGAATCACCACCAGGACATGACAGCTGCTCCTCACCTTCATGGCCAACATTTCCCACCTGCGCTGGGGGGGTTTATAACCATTAAAAGCGTTTTTAATAACTTTTAAACACTTTTCCTCGCGGCGTCTTGCGTCAAGGAGCCCCCCAGGTGCCCGTAGCCAAAACTCTCGAGGAGGGGACGGAAGATCCGGGGGTATTTGTGGCCATCCCCACGTCGCTGCTGTGTTCACGGAGTCACGAGGTGTTTGGGGACAATCGGGGACAAGTTGACCTCGGAGCTGGAGCAGCAACAGGCGCCGGGTGGTGCGTGGTGTCTGTAAACAGCCGCCCGCCCCGAACAGGCGCCCGGCCGTTGTTTGGCCAGGCAGGAGGATGGAGCCCAGCCCTCGGTGGGGATTTGAAACCCCCCCAAAAAGATACCCCAGGTTTTGGCAGCCGGGCTGGCACCGCGGTGCCGGTTCTTGGCAGCCCGGTGGGGGCCGGGTTGCGGGTGGGAGGAGGATTTGGTGACCTTCCAGGTGGGCTGGCGGCCGAACAGCTGAGGGAATGGCTCGGAAATAGAGCGGCGGGAAGGAATGAGTCACCCCGGGGCTGGAAATAACCGGGGCCGTGGGCACCGGAGGGGAGCTGAGGTGGAATCGCTCGTGGTACCCTCTCCGGAGACACCCCTCCGGGCTGAACTCCCAGCCCTTTTAGGGGAAAAACATCAATAAAGCGTTAAAAACCAGGCGGCGGCAGTCAGGCGTTCTCAATAATTTATCACGAGCTGTATATACAGAGAGAGGCTCCGGCGGAGGGGCTGGGAAGGGAACCTCTGGGAAAGGAACTGCTGGGAAGGGAACCTCTGGGAAAGAAGGGAACCTCTGGGAAAGAAGGGAATCTCTGGGAAAGAAAGGAACCTCTGGGAAGGGAACCTCGCTCCTGGCAGAGCTCTTGGAACACTGGATCTTCCCCATCCACCCTCCTTGGCTACCAAGGAGCCTGGAACTGGGGCTCCCCTCCAGAGTTCCTCCAGGATGCCTCTCCACACGCCAGCCCCTCAAGCAACAGGTCTGACCCCTCAGAGCAGCATTCCCTCCTTCCCAAATCACCCCAATCGTTAACGAGGGAAGGGAGGGGAAAAGAGACACACACACCCCCCTCCCCGAGCCCTCAGATCTTGATCTCAGTCCGGAAGGTTTGCTGGACGTGGTCGGTGTGCTTGGCAGGCTGTCTCTGAGCCCGGATGGTCAACGTGCCATCATCCCCCAGCGAGGATGACACCGACGTGGGGTCCACGTCGTCGGGCAGCTGGCATTTGTGGGTGAAGGTGTTCATGACGGTGCCATCTGAGGCCAGCTAGGGGAAAAAAAAGGGGTGAAAATGCATGATTTTAAGGTGCAGGTGGGGTGTGGACTTGCTGTTTGGGTTACGCCTTGTGTGTGGTGATAATATTTATCTCCCTGAGGGATGTGGGTGGCATCAACGGGGGGGACAAAGGTGGTTTTGTTGGCTGGGAGAAGGGGGATTACAATGCAGGAGTTGGTTGGGTCTCATGGGCTTGGCTCCTGTGAAATAACGGGCCCAAACCATGAGGAAATGGTGAATTAACCCCCCTGGGGTGACGGCCAGGGCTGTGAGGAGGTGGGGTGGGAGCCGGAGGGGATTTTGGGGCACTCACCTTCTCGGCATGCACCTCGATCTGGTTGTTGGAGGTGGTGACGATGATGTCCTCGGGGGCGAAGTCGCTGACGTCCACCGTGAACTGATAGGTGTTGCCCAAGGTCTTCACCGTGCCAGTGTCACCAGGACGAGCTGCCGGAGATTGGGGTGAGGGGGTCACCGATTCCATCAGGGGTCCCCCCCAAAACTCCCCTCCCACAGCTC